ATTAGCAACATTCCCGTTACACTCTAAATAAAACAAGGATGTCCAATGTATCCTTTTTAAACATATTTTAAACATTCTCAAAGTTCTATTCAAAACAATGAAACAATAAAAAATATACAATATAACTGTGAATAACAAATTGTAAGTACCTACCAAGAAAATCCAAAGATCAACTGAAAAACTATGAGAACTGATAAAAAGTTCAGTAAGAAGATTGATTTTCAAGTAAACATATGAAAATCAATAAGAAGCAATAACAAGTACTTAATTTAGAAGTAATAATAAACTTGAAAATAAGGATTCTTTCATAACAGAAATAAAGGTAAACAGAAATAAATAAAACTTACCAAAAAAAATTCCTAAAAAGCACAGGCGAGGGCATAAAAAACTTGAATAAACAAAACAATACATTATGTTCCCAAGTAGTAAGACAATACAAAAAATTCAATCTCTCCTAAATTATTCTATAAATTGAATCCAATGGATATTTTTGGTACTTCATAAAAATTACTGTGAATCATATTCAGAAAAAACTACTCAGAACAAATAAATAAGTAGAAAAAGGTTTTGAAATGTCTTTGAAAAAAACCACAGGATGTAAAACTATATATGATAAGGTCAAAATAATTTAAAAACACAGTGTACAAGAACAACAAACAGCCCCCAAATTTAAGCTAGTGTATAATCAGGACAATAACTTATGAAAACTGTGGTGTTTCAAAAACCAATGGGGACATATGACTAAGAGGTCAGATTAATTAAAGTCAAATTCACAAAGTAAGGAATTATGAGCAAGTTATGATATTATCTTATCAACCAGGTTCTAATCTATTTTTACTAGCCTGACCATTTTCTGTAGCAGCCAAAGCAGAGCAAAAATGTTTGACAGTTTCTGAGCCATGTTTCCCACCCTTTTTTTATTAGTGGATTAGGTACATGGTTGTAAATGAGGTGCAAACTTGAAATGCTTAACAACTCAATAAATTCATCAGCAACATTTTAAAATCCTTTGGGAAAAGAATGAATTCAGCTGTAACTATTTAACTACCAAGAATAGAATTAAATTAAATCCCAATTCACAGAAAATACCAAAATAAATCTGGATGGATAATGTTAAGTATAAACACTGAAAACATACTATCAAAATGCACTTCAAAAAGGCTGAACTAATTTACTATTTCCACCAGCACTGTGATACCCATTTTCCCTAGTCTTCAGCAACATATGTTCATTCTCTTTGAGAAATTCTACTTCTATGAATTCATGGCAAAGCAAAAATCAGAAACATTTATGAAAACAAATAATTAAAGATATCTACTGCAAAACAACTTACAGTTTAAATAATGCAAATACTTAAATCTTCATCAATCTGTTATCATTTAAGCAATTTATTGTTCCTTTACAGAATATTACACAGATATCATTTATGATGCTGCTGAATAATATTTAATGGCATAGGAAAATTCTTTTACAAATTATTGTTCAATTTTAAAAAGTAGTGTTACATATGAATTTTCAACTCAAATCTGTAAGAGTAAAATTTAATTTTAAAACTATATGAATGTAATAAGTTCAACAGATAACAAAATGTTAAACAATGGCTTTTCTAGATGCTCTTTTCTCTTTCCTTCTTAAGAGTTTTTCTCTTGGCAGTTATTAATTCCTAAGTTTTCTATATTAAATATCCAGTATTATAATCACAAGAAAAGTATTTTTTCTGATCTGGCATACAGACAAAGAAATTCTACTTCTATGAACTATACACATAAATATTTATATATAATGTTTATCTATCAATATTTAACATAGAAAGTAATAAAAAATGATTTAAATGTCTAACAAATAAAGGTCTGGAAAAATAAGTTACAGTATCTCTGCAGGATGTCCACTAAAACTTTTTCAGAGGAAAAAATGCTGATTACATAAAATTTGACTAAAACATGAAATATGAAGCTGCATGAGTTGAGACTTATTTTTTTAAATAAATACATAACTGTATATGCAGAAATCAAACACTGCATTATTAAAAAGGCTAGTAGGAAGCAACAAATGCTAAAGTGATTATCTCTGGATGATGCATTGTCAATGGTTTTATTTTCTTCTTAACACCATTCTGTTTTCCAAATTCTCTATACAGTAAGCTTGGAAAGTGTGATATACATATAAGAATATCCAAAGAAGAAGGAGGAAGAAGACGAAGAAATTTAAAAATAAAGCAGCCATCTGTCCCATTGCTTTGATTTAGTTTTAATTACAGAATTTTATTCATTTTAAAATATCATATGGCACTAAAGAAAGAGATTTATTTTATCTATCATTTAAAAAAATCTATAGGGTTTTTTTTAAAAGGGAAGCACTGCAGTAAAATGTATATTTTAACATTTTATAATATTTAGTGAGGTTTAAAGTGTTAACATTATTATTTTTTAAGTAAAAAGATACTGTAGTTAGTAAAAATATCATCTACTTCTAGCACTATTTGAAAATTATGTTGACTACTATAGCAGAAATAAATAGGCCTTTATTTTACTCTTAGGAAGCACCCAAAATACAAATAAAAGTACAATTAATTGTTCTTTTATCGTCTAAAAATATTATGTTAATATCATACTTATCTGTGAGCAAAGGATATCACTTCCAAAATGGTTTTAGTAGCTCACTGCCTACGAACTAAAGCCCAAACTTGATTCAAATTCCAGGTGTTCTGTGACCTGCCCAGCCCTGCACCTACAGGCTTACTTCCACCACCCCTCCTTTGCACAACCAATACAACCACTCAAAAAAAAAAAAACATTTTTACAAGTTGAATACGGAAATCACTAATCACTAGATTTTTTTACTTATTTTGATAATATTTTGAATGAGTTTCAATTATTAAGGCCAACAAACATTTCTGAGAACTATCACATTTCATCCTTAGCAGTTGCACACTAAAATCATAAAAATAAAGAATGTGAAAGACTGTATCAAGAATATTCATATCACTGTTTATATAAATAAATATACTGGCTGAAGCTTTAGTCAAAACAGATATTTAAAAGAATAAACATTTAAAAATTAGATTACTTAACTATTTAAAAATCTTTGAAAAGTAACTAAACCAGTATAACTAAACCAGATATTATGCTACCTAATCTTCCTATAATTACTTTATTAAATCAATCTTCCTAATCTTTAACTCATAAATGTGAAGTAATTCTAGAGAATAAACACCTTCCCATTTTTCACATAAATAGTAACAACTGAGAGCAACCTGTTTAACTCTTGAAATCTTTGATTTTCAGAAATGTTCCCTTAAAAACATCATCATATTCATGCTTTTAACAGTCTGTAAAATTTATATGAAATAGATGATACAAGCATTTCACACCTCAGTTGTTAAAAGCATTTCAATCTTTACAACAAATGATTGATACCTCTGAGATTTTGTAAATTTTCATATATATGTTTCTCCTCAATCCTCAATGTAAATATTTTTTGTATGCCAGAAAAAAACATATTTTCTTTTACACAAAAATTGCCATTATCACATTAATATTTGAAACTTCACATTTCCATTTTTAAATGTTTATATTAAATTCATAAAATTATCATCCACATAGTATTTGAATACCAGGTGCCTAACAAAGAACCCTCAGTTTTGTATATATTAGAGTACTAAACACAAAAACTTACATGACACTATCTTTTTAAAGATCTTTGCTGGTACAACAGAGTACTTGAAAAATTGTCTCAAAAGAAAAACAGCAAAGAAAACCAATGAAACAAAACACTGATTCTTTGAAAATGTCAATAAAATTGATAGGCCTCTAGCTAGACTGACCAAAAAAAAAAAGAAGAAATTATCATTAGCAGGAATGAAACGGGCTATCACTACAGACCCTGCAGAAGTCAAAGGAATAGTAAGAGACTACTACATACAACTCTACACATACATTGACAATTTAGAAGAAATGGATCAATTCCGAAAGAGCACAAATTACAACTCACTCAAGATCAAGAGATCATTTGAATAGCCCTAAAGCAATTAAAGAAATTAAATTTCTAGTTTAAAAGACTACCAAATAGAAAACCTACAGATTCAGATGGTTTCACTGGAGACTTCTACCAAATGTTTAAGAATTAACACCAATTCTATACTAGGCTTCCAGAAAATAAGAGGAGGGAAAACTTCCCAACATATTTTAAGAGATATTACCAAAAGCAAAAAAAGAGAGAAACTATAGACTTACATCCCTCCTGAGTATAAATGTACAAATTCTTAAGAAAATACTAGCAATTATACACAATGACCAAGTAAGGATTATTCCACAAATGAAAAAAGGCTGTGTCAATATTTTTTTTTAAATCAATATAATACACCATATTAACAGGATATGGTAGAAAAAAAATCAGATGGAGCTACTAGAGCATATATACTAAACCTTTAGTTGTAATCAGTTTGGATGAAATCAACTGTATCATTCATTCATTCATTCATTCATTTACTTTGAGTAAAGATCTCGCTCTGTTGCCCAGGCTGGAGGGCAATAGCACAATCCCAGCTCACTACAGCCTCAGTCTCCTGGGTTCAGGAGATCCTTCCACCTCAGTCAGCCTCCCAAGTAGCTGGGATACAGGCATGCACCATCATACCTGGATTTTTTAAAAATTTCTTTGTAGAGATGGGGTCTCACTATGTTGCGATGGTCTTGAGCTCCTGGTCTCAAGTAATTCTCTCACCTCAGCCTCCCAAAGTGCTGGGATTACAGGCATGAGTCACCACACCAAGTCATACTTATTAAATTTTAAAGGCCTTACCTATACAAGGATAACTTTTTTCACCAACAAACCAAAGCTTAATCTATTTCTAATGTTGTATAATAAACATCTGAATTTTGAGAACTAGAGAAAACAAAAGAAGACATTGAAACATTAAAATGTTGATAATTTCTTTTAACTTTTTTTCTACAGTTAAGATACCTGCATGACTTCTAAAATGGGAAAGAAAATTGTCTTACCATAATTAAACTGACTGTTGGACTTTTCACAGTTAATGATGTTAAACCTGTAAGCAACACTTAGCCGCATTCCACTGACTTCAAAGTAAAACCACTGATGATAATGATTGCTGTTTATATCTGAGTTCAGAATAAGATCATATTCGTTTCTGAAAACAGAAGACAAAGAGATCTGATAAAAATCCGGAAAATATCTGGGCACATACAAAATAAAATCTTAACTGACTTACTTTCTAATTTGAATTACTTTGCGCAGATTCCCAGATTCAAATTTGGAGTTAAACTTCAGAACATCTCCTTCTTCCAGAATGGTGTAACTAAATAAATTTTTTAAAGTAAGTATATTAAAATACATTGCATTTAAATGTATTTTAAATGAGCAAGAAATAAAAGAAAACCACACAATTAAAAATACATCATTATTGTCACATCATCTTCCTCATTAATTTTAAGCCAAAGAACATAACAAACACAAACAAAGCACAAACTCTGGCTAACATTTATAAACAAAAAAATTATAATTACAATTAGTGACTTGCTTCCATGTTTATACTAAAATAATAAGAACTTTTGCCTCACTGAATGTTATTCCTAAAATACTAATTATTATATAGAAAAAACAAACTTATTTTTTTAAATGCAAATAATAAGAAGCAATAATTCTAATAAACCACGCAGTTCTCAGGCGAAAATATTATTTTCAATTTAGAGAGCTACATTATCAATTATCTTATTTAAGTAGCATCAAAAAGATGTATTATCCTCATTTTACATATTCATCATTTTAGTAACTATTTACTGAGCACCACTATGTGCCAGATATTGTTTTAGCTACTTCTCTATTTGATTCGTTAACGGAATACAAATTCTTGCTCTTCTAGAGTTTATTTCTTAATAGGAGAAAATTAAGACTTCAAAAAGCTCAATGATTTTCTCCAAAGTCATTTCAGTTAAAAACAGCACTAGTATACCACACTCAGGATTCTTGAGTTTGTTTTCACCACTTGTATCTGTTTTATCTGATAAAGAATTATAACATTGAAATAACTAAATAAAGTATATGTTTCTTCTTTTATAAGAATATTATTTCAAATTTAATCACTAGTTTTGTTACAGCTTGTACTCTTTTCTAACTCTTTAAAATCTCTCTAACTTTTGAAAAAAGTATTTTATTTCTTCTAAATATGATCGGTGAAATGTGAAATTTCCCAAAAGTACTAGAATATTGGGTCAGGGAAGAAACCCACTGAGAGCTCATTGAATTTCTTATTTGAGAAGGCAAATGATTAAATAATAGTCACACCCAATATTTGCAATTTCCATTTATTTACTTACACTTAAAACCTAAATAGTAAATAATAAATGACTAACACACCAAACATCACAAACAAATATAATCAAAGAGGAAGCAAATAACAAGTCACTAAAGCAGACTGTAAGCAGTAAGAGACAAGAGAGAGTGGTGAGAACTGTGGAGAATTAGCAATCATATGCTTCTTCCAAAAGGATGATAATTTGTTGCCCAAGGAAAGGAAGGCTCAACATCACAGGACAAACCAATATTTCATGTGAAATATCCACTCTCTTAGGTAGAGGTAATTTCAGCTTTTTAAAAAACACAGCCTCATTTACAACCTTCACCCTTAAATCCTTTATCTAAAACCCATTAAAAATTCACCAAAAAAAAAACAAAAACAAAACTATGATATCTTTAAGTAAATAAACATGATTTACCATCACCATCACATGCCTGACAAAGAATGACAACGTAGCAAGCAGAAACTAGGTGGAGGTTACCTGTGATCTTTTTTTTATCTTTTAGAAATAAAACTAAAATTTTACAGTACAAATAAAAATAACAAAAGTCTTTAAAAATCAGACTTACTTCGGGTTATCTAAGTCATATACCACTCGATCTATGATATCACTTTGGTGTATCAGTCTCTCAATGTCTTGGGCAATTTTTGTCCTAAAATCACAAAAGAGAAGTTTGACCAATATTCACTGTTATATGCCAATGTGTAACTTTCTCCAAAATAAGTTTTGAATTAGAAAAGTGCAAAATAATATAAACTTTAAAATAACTACAATCATTCCTCTATCTTTATATTTTGTATATAAAAATATCAGTACATAACAACCAAGACAAAAATCAATATTTATCAAAGTCCAAGTTCGAGAAAATAACCATGTAGCAAACAGCCACAAATCCAATAGTTACCAAAAAAAAAAAATGTCTATTGTGTCCTTCTACATAGAAATGGTATGGATTCACTACCTAACCCTTACACAAATAATTTCGTATACATAACAGCAGTATTATTAGAAGTAGTAAAGATCTGAAAAGCCAGAGATTGTATAAGAATACTTTTTAAAATATATCTGGCAGGAATTTACTAAAATGCAATTGGCATGCAATTAGCCTGCATGTTCTGTAGAATCTCCCCTTCTTCTGTGGTGGGAAAGGTTTGGTGGAAGGGAGGGAAATATCTGTATCAGGGAGCAGAGGATGATCCTTGAGTCCCCAGAATTCTCCAGGTTTGATTTCCCCCTGAATCAGTCCAACAAAATGGATACTAACCGGACCAGTTCTACACTCCCACTCATGTCCTAGAAGACCGAGTCACCCACAGAACCCACAATCTTCCCAATCAATATATAAGCCAAGGAAGACAACAATCACTAGGTAGCACCAAACTGTAGCCAAAACAGAACAGATTTGGATCTGAAAACCAGATTTATCTGTAACTCCAGGCAGACTGGCCACAAAGCCCTTAGTGTGTTAATGCATATTTTCTTCTCACTGTACCACTTATTCTTAAAGAAGAAATTGACTATATAAGCTGATTTAAATGTCAAGTTTGTTTCAACTAGAGACAAGTAATGCAGATTAGAACTGTGGTTTAGAAATAGATTGAGAGTAGAGTGAGAAAGTGTGCCACGAAGGTCACAATAAAAATCTCAAGAATGCGCAAAACACTGGTGATCTTAACCTCAGGCAAATCTGAAACTGGTCTCCACAGATACTTTTCTATTATTAAAGGATATTAACTCTCATATAGTTTAGAAATATGTCTGACAGCATCACAGTATAACCCTGAATTCAAAATAAGCCAAGAATCTAATTGGAAAAATTATCAGTAAAATATGAAAAGTATGATAATTAAACATATGAACAATGGATACTAAAAAAATTAAGTACAATGGCTAAAATTCTTAATCTGCTAATTAAACAGTTAAGTATCATTTACTTTTAATTTGACTTCACAAAAAATAATTCTTTATTGACAAAGTAGTCTATCAGGAAAAAAAAATCTAGTATCAAAGAGTCAAGCTATATATTCTTAATTTAAGTTTAATGTCATAACTTTAAAATATCAATTCTAAAGAAACAAACTTTAAAAAAAGCCATCAATTATAGTAATACATAAACACATTCAAGATTTACATTAACCAGGCCTTCCACAGTGAAAAAGATGGGAATTAAATATACCAAAATGTAACACACACAAAATGCAAGTGTTCAAGTATGGATGACTGACTAAATACATTTGTCAGAGCAATTTACCTAATTAATAAGAAGGTATATACCACAATTGCACAAAAAATATTTACAGAGATAAGGCTTTTGTGTTTTAGAACAATGGTGTGAAAAAGCTGATTATAACAGCTCAGTTCAACAGTCACATTCCCTAATGTAAAGCAGGGTCAGAAAGCACAGACCCAAGTAGAAAACAAGTGCTAGCCGAAATGAAGCTGACGGGGAAAATGTGGAAAACTGAGGAACACAGGTTCTGTGTAAAAACAAGACAAGGAGGAAACAAGATGAAGATTGCCATGCCTAACTTTTCAAGAAGCACCAGAAACATAAGCTTCTATGTGGAATCTACCACATTTCAAATGATGGCAATAACTTTAGAACAACAAAGAACACTCTGTAAGATAAGCCAAAATCATGTGTAAGTTGAATATGGCCTACAGGCCACTGTTTTTAAACCTGACACTGGATTTTGGGGGACATGATTGTCCATTTATATTAGATGAGACCTAAAATTAATACCTGAGGGAAATCTTTGCCCTGTCCTAAGTCCTCTTTAATAAGAAAAAGTCTTTTATTCAGACATGCATTTTGTGTTAACAAAATCAACTTGCATAAAAGAATGTCAACCTTTCCTTCCTTTACCTCAGCTGCCTATCAAAAAATATATATATATATGACTTTTCAGTCAAAACAAAATAACAAATATTTCTGGGAACTCCCAGGCACTATAACCTCAAACTTACTCATTCAACAATTACCAAAATTTGGCTCAGAAGAAAATTATTTATTAGAGCAGTCTGAAAAATATGCAGTCCATTCTGTCCGTATTCAAAAGAACATATGACGTGTGGTCACCAGCAAAACTGTATTTTGTTAGGTTTTCAACCACATAGCAACACTATAAGAAACAATTTAGTAATTCTCATTGCAATATTTATTGTAGAACAGTATAGAAAATGCTGTTCTTTACATAACAATGTTATCTGATGATCCATATTATTCTCCTTTACACAGTATGATATAACCACATATATATGATCAGTGATTATATATATATATATGATATATTATATACACAAAGGGTGTTAAAATGTATACATACTTTAAGGAAAAAACTGTACTAAAATTGTAATATTCAATATATACCAATAACAAAAGATGAATACAAGTCACATTTGACCTCTGGAATTATAAGAGGTGCTCAAAGTGGTTACTATCAGCATCCAGACACTTCTGATTACAGAAAACTACTGCAGGACTTGATGCTATGTGAAGCCTCCCAGATATTCCCTTGTGTACATCACATACAGTAACATGCATCTCAAACTTATCACAAATGCACGCAATTGTTAAGTGTGTTGGAGGCTCTGTTGCATACCCATGCCTTTACTGTCGTTGTACTTCCACAATGTTCTCAAATTTCAAATACCACTTTAAAATCGTCTTGTGTCCCTCAAACAACTGGGCTTCTGCCATTTTCTATGGCCTGCTTGTCACGTGGTGACACTAGCATTCATTTGATTAACACCATCTTTTGAACAGACACCATAGTACACATTGCTACTGCAATTCAACTTTGAAAAGTAATACATAGATAACATCTTAAAATGTGTATAAATTTTTTTGTACCCTCAGAGAGAGAGAGAGAGAGAGAGAGAGAGAGAATATAAGAATTAACAGGAGAGGCTCAGATCTAGACCATGGCTTGACTCTTGGCTCTGCCATCTTCTAGCAGTAACCTTGGATAAGTTATTCAATAATCTTGAGATTCAACCTACTCTTTTATAAAATGAAGAAAAATAACAGCACCTTTATAGCATTAAATGACATATTGCATATGTATATAAAATGATTATTAATGAAGCCCACGTCTGATCCACAAAAAAACTTTTAATAAAAACCTATCTGCTGCGTTTGCTCCTACCTAATATTTCCCACTATTACGTCAATTCCAGCAGTCCTTGTACTTCACAAAGCATTCTAAACTTAATATAAAGTAATCCAGGGTTTTGCTTTCCTTATTTTGCTTTTGCCACAATTCACCACCTACTTTTTACTCTAAAATTTCTGAAGAGGCTGGGCTCGGTGGCTCAGCCTATAATCCCACCACTTTGGGAGGCAAAGGCAAGTGGATTGCCTGAGCCTATGGGTTCGAGACCTGCCTGGGCAACTTGGCGAGACCACATCTCTACAATAAATCAAAAATTAGCTGGGCATGGTGTTGGGAGCCGGGAGGCCCGCCTGAGCGTTAGGGATACAGGCAGGCTGCGGACCCTGAGACCACTAGGATGAGTTCAGGAGCTGAAGGCCCATTCCTGTTGGGAGCCAACATCTATAGCTACATGGCTGAGGTCTGTAAAGGCCCATCTGGAAGATCGCCTCTGACATAGAATATCAGTTATACCTATAATATTGGCGTGTGATTAGTGACCAGTGTGCATACATGGCAGTAAAACTTATAAGTAAATCTCTATACACCTGATGGAAAGTTGCATAGCAGAATTATTTTTTATGACCTTGTCCCTTCTAAGTTTTACTTCTTTCTAGATATTTTTTAACTTCTATTTCCTGGTAGACTGGTTAGTTAGCTCTTGTCCCCAAAGGCAGTTTCTCCTAGGATTAAGATTAGAAACTAAATTACCATAGTAGTTTTATTGCCATGACTCTAGTCAGGCAGGACGTTTTTCTAGTTTCGTTACATGCCGAAACTCCGTTTGCTTCAGCCTGGGGTCATTGTCATGGTAACCGTGCAGCCCATTATCCAAGAGTGTGACAGCAACTATTTGATTTTTAGAATAGACTTGTTTGGATAAAACATACATTTAAGACGACACAATTTCCATCGAAAAGGTTTAAACAGTAATAAGCATTCATAGAAAACTTTTGAGTTTTGTTTGAGCTTATAAGTTTCCTTTTCTCAGATTATGACTTTAGTTCCTATTCCTGTAGGCCAATTTTAAGATCTTTTGATAAGTGTACCGAAATTTTCCCAACGGTGTTGTTTTTGCTTCTAATATGACAATAGGAAATTTTACACGTAGCCATCTATTAATGTACTAGGAAAAAAGATTTAAGTTTTGGGTTAAAGTCCAATCACTAGATCATATAAAAATTAAAGTTTAGGTTTATGAAACTCATATAAGTCATGGTAAGGAATAAGATTTGAATTAATTGTTATAGAATTACAGGGCACTATGTTGAGTCATAATAGGTTAATGGAATAAATAAAAATTAAGTCATTTAAGTAAACTTATAGATTATAGTGTTAAGTTGATAATATCAACCGTTAAAAAATATTAGGAGTCAGTGAACTTGGATTGAACCTAGAGTTAACTTGGAAAGTTTTTGTATTAATCAGGGTTTAGAACAAAGAGTATAATATGAATGATTTATTGAACACTATGGAAGACATTTTGAACAATTGAAAT